TTCTTGGATTGCAGCTATTTTCTCCCCATCAATACGCCCCACAAACCTTAAAAATTTAGCTGGTGTGCACCTAAACCTGTATGCCTATAAAAACAATATAACAATGTTGATAAAATTTACCAAATAACACTCCAATACTTGCACTTGCGCTTTGAAACTTCTAAATCATTTAATTTAAAAACAATAAAATTGTATGCTACGTCCTTACTTGTTTTGCTACATCACTCTTTATGCTTTCTCCCCTATTGGCTATAGACTCCTTGTAGCTTTTCATCAGCTCCTTATATTTTTTCATATTTTTTTCATTCTTCCATACAAGCTTCTCCTCATCACGCAATTTATTCCATGCATTTCTCGAGGCTATGTTTAGCTCCTGCATTGTTAATGCCTTTCCCTTTGCTTTTTCCTTGCGTACGAAGTCAATCCTACCAACATTTAATATGATTAGATCCTATACATAGACTTTTGATTTTATCATGAGTTTTTTAACTAATTCAAAGCCCCAAATGTACACAATAATGCTTCTATAAAGTCATATATACCTGTATGCAATGAAATCAGTTGGTGGCCTCATCGGCTTTACTGGATTCTTGTCATGAAGTTCCTCAACCTGCTTGCCTTTATCTTTTGTAACATTCATCTTCTTGGTTCCCCGACGTCCCATTTCAAACTGCACCAAAATAAATGACATGAAAAAAACATAAGGGATAATTTCAATATCCTATCCCTTGAGGTTTCTTCACAGAAGTGTATTAACACACTTCTGTTGTTACAAATGTACAAGAGGTTTACATAAAGTTACAAAATGTTCAAAATGAACTTCTTCAGAAAGAAGAAAGGTTGAGAATTCCAAAATATTATAATACATCTTTGCTGGATAAATATTAATTAAACATTATTTACACCAGGGTAACATTATGAATTTCCTCTGCAGAAAGAATATAAAATACACTTACATCTTTCCAATTTCAATCATACAACTTAGGAGAGATAATGTATTCCAAAAATAATTGTCTGAGTTTTGATTTTTTTTCACAACACACTAAATAGTCTGAAAAACAGCCTCCAATGTTGACAAAAGTAAAAGTTGTTTTTAACTTAATTATGGCATTTAAATTTATTTAGTTCGAAGACACGTATATGTATAAAAATATAGTGTTATTCTTCTTAGTTGATATTTCATTACTAGGAAATGAAAATTCAAAACTCAATATGTAATGCAACACTTAACTCCAAAAAAATAATAAAATAAAAATCATACCTCAAATTTTGGTATGTTCCTCCTTGTTCCACCTTCAAATGCAAGTACAGGCAAAAATGCCAAGGTTGGTCCTTTAATGTCCACAAGAAAGTTCTGCCATGACAGTTATGGTCAAAAACTAAGTGCTTAAAGCGGACAAGTAACAGTGAGGCCATCAAATGTATACATGCATCTAAAGTTTGTATACCTGTATGATTGTGTTTTAGTAGATACAAGTTGTGGAATCATACCATGTTATAGATATACAAGCGTCACTAGTTATGGTCTCAAGAAATGATATGGACACGGCACCCTCTTATTTATCAGATTGTTTCTCTAGATGTTTGTAGAAGCAAAATTTTTCTAATTGTGATCATAATATGTGGCAGGAAACCAGGAGAAAAATCTTTCAGGAAAGAGGAAATAAACAGAATTGCCTGATGATTATGAACCTAAAACTGGATGTGTTTTGGCTCATTAGCTTATTTTCTCATAAAACAAAACTTCTACAACAAGTTTAGGGAAGAGAGGAAAGAGTAAATTTCACTGACAAGATAAATGCAGGTTTAATAAAAGCCAAACAAAAGAAATATGGAGTGCTTACATCTGATCTAGAATCTAACACAATCCCAAGAACTGTATCTCCAGCGCACGGTACATACTGCAAAAAAGAGTGCTCAAATGAAATTCAAAATGTTTTTATGATAAACACAAGAAAGTGTTCTTAGACAAGAATCTAAAAGCAAACAGTTTCTTAAATTGAACATCATATCTTGTCTTGGTAATAGTAAAATTAAGTGGAAAGTTAAAGATTCAAGAGCGCCATCCTTTAGTATTTGTATTCTACAAATAAACTGTCAGCTGAAAATCTCATACCAAGCACTTGTAGATATCATTTAGAAAATAAAAAGGCAAGTACAAAAAGTGGATGGAAAAAGAAAAAAGGAAACACTAAGAACATTGAGTTCATTAGCAATGACTTCTTCAGTGGGATAGCCACTGGGGGTAAAACTAGAGACATCAAACTCTGACACTAGACATATAGCTAGTTTACCAACTTAAGAACCCAATTATCAGCTAAGACATTAGATGGATCATCTTCACTAAATGCAACCATTATCATAGTGCATTATGAACCAGAACACACTTATAAAGAAGAGAAAGGGATTGCAATGATTGCCAAAAAAAAAAAAACTTACAATTAGCTTGAACAGAATATAATGCAAAACTGAACAAAACAGGATCATATTTTTGTTGACAGTTTCTCATCTTTTCCTTTCGTTCTTCTAATATTGCAGGTTTTCTTTGGACTGATTACTAGATTTTCAATAATTTCGTAATTAAATAAATTCATTAAAATTGAAATTAAACCACAACAACTTAGGTAGCGAAAAATTGACATTAAAAATTGAAAAATGCAATCAACATAATTGAGAGGGGTAAAGAAAAACCCTAGTGAAAACGGAGACATTACAGAGAAATTACTAGTTTGTTACAAGATAAAAATAAAAAATCAGGAAGAAGACATTACGAACATGTAATTTCTCTTTAACAACGAAATTATTACTAATTACGAACTAGTAACAACGAAATTACTAGTTCGTAATCTAGTAACAACGAAATTACGAACTAGTAACAACGAAATTACTAGTTCATAATCTAGTAACAATGAAATTACAGAGACATTACGAACCTCCTCAAAAGGTTTGTAAGCAGGAAGAAGACACAAAAAATAAGTACTAAACTAACTAAGCTTGCAACCTAAAGAAGAAAAATAAAAAAGATAACTTTTTCACAAGTATAATTTTAACAATTTTGTCCTGCCAGCTGAGCTACCCAGCTCGAAATAAACTAAGCTCCAAAATTTCTTCAATCCATCCCACGAAAACTAATGTGAAACTTCAAGACTCACCAAAATAAGAAATTAACTCAAAAATCCCAGAAAATTTTGACCCCAATGAATTAAAAAAAATGTCAAAAAATGAAGAGTATCAATGTTGCGGATAAACATTACAAGGGCAACATAGGAGCAGAGAGTGTAAAAGATCCCATCTTGCCTTAGATTATGCAGTTTCTCGTCCTCCAAAAAACACCGTGGGTCTTCTTTAGGAGGAATTCAGGCAGTTGTTTTGGAAATTAGCAGACAATGGAAGTGAAATGGGAGTGATTTTGTGGAGTGAAATGGCAGTTCTTTTGTGGAGTGATCTTTTGCATTAGCAGAGGGAAAAGGGTTTGGGAAATGGGGAAAGTGAAATGGGGATTTCTGATACAAAAGGAACTTTTCATTAATAATTTGGGCGGGATAAATTTGACGCCGTTTGACGATGATGCTCCATCCGTTTCTATAATTTTTATTTTTTTATTTGCCACTGAAGAAAACGATGCCGTTTTCTTCAGCTGATATAACTTTGCGACGTGACTTTGTTTTGGCCGTTGATGATGGATCAAAACATCTTGGCCATGAAAAGTTTATGAGCGGTTGTCTGACAACCGCTCCAGCCCCTTGTCCGTGGCACATTGGCATGTCAGAATGGAGATCAGTTGCTTGGCTCTTGTACTGAGGATGGAGGCAAAAGACTATCTGAATTAAAGTGTAGCTGATCTCCTAAACTAGTCAACAGATTCTACTTAAATACCTTTTATTCCCTCTTGTTGATAGATGAGCAATTGACCACTTCTTAACTGTTGATCTCTTTTTCAATTGCTTTAAAAAAAAAAGAAGAAGGATTAAATAAAGGGGATAATGCATTTGATTGCCCAAATACTGATTCCACTAAAAGCAAATCCAATTGAGTAGTTCAAACCCTCCCTCTCCTTGCTTCTTAATTCCCATCCCTCCTCTGCTCTTAAAAAAAAATATATGGAGAAAGGGTAACTTGAATTGCGACCTCATGAATCTCAGTACAGGTAACTTTGACAAAATTCACCAAATAACTCGTTGGATAATCGGGCATTATTCGTTGGATTGAATCCAGGCTTTTTCTAGGTCTTGGCCAAGAAATTTCCTGAAATATGATTCGATTCACTTCACCAATGAATTGATGTGTTATATGTATTGTGACTAGGCACCTAGGGAAACCAAACAAGAATAAAAAGAAAAAAAAATCTTGGGCAATAACTTTACGTCTCTACCTGTGGAATTTATGGGCATTCAAAGTGCATAAAACGTGATGACTGTGACATTGATGTGGAAATCAGAATACCATATATTGTTCATGTTTTTTAGCATAAGAAAAGAAAATGACTTTCATACTTGATTTCTTGCAGGGTCTGATTAAACCTATTCGGGTTAATCTAGCGATTAGGGGAAGTATTTGATTGAAACTATTGGGATTAGTCTAGTGATTAGGAGAAGGTTTTTAGAGTTTTCCCTACTATCAGTTCAAGATTCAAATCTAAGATCTCAGGGGATGATCGGTTAAAAATGAGGGATTGGGGGGGGGGGTGTGAGGTTATGGACAAGTTCAGTCAAAAATTTGCCCAAGAGAAATACTACTGGTTAATGAAAGTGCTGGAAATGGAACTAAGCATTTACATAAGAACAAGAACTGAACATTTACATCAATTTCCTTATTTTTTTTTAAAGAAAACATATATTAAAAGGAAATTAGGAAAATTTACAAGCTGCAGGCGACAAGTGACCCTCCTTCCTTTAAATCCATGGCCCATGAGCCCATCTCACCTCACCAGCCCAAGCCCAGTAACCGCTTTTCAGAGGTGACGTCGTTTTGATCTTCCCTCTTCTCTGATCACACTCACTTGTCATTCCTTTGCCATTTTTGAACCTGAAGAAGAATCACAACCGAAACCTCAAGAATATTTGTGGGCTCTTTCAAATATTAAACATTATTCTCCAAATTTCATTCTTTTCTCCCTTTACTCCTTTAAAATTCAGTATCTAGTTTTAGATCAAATAACTCAGTTCCATTTCAAGACTTCAAGAAGGTACACCTTCTCCTCCTCCATGTGGTGCTACTTCTCCGCTTGCTTCTTTAATTTTATTGTTTTACGTGCGTTCATTCATATACACACTTGAGATTCATTTCTTTCTTGCTTTATTTTACTTAATTTTGTCCCATTTCTTCTTTTTTTCCTTTTTGTTTTTGGCTTTTGTGTGCATTAGGACGCTTAAAAGTGCTAAAGAACAAAGTTTTATGCGGAAAATTTGCTGCCGGTTAGTTCATGCAATGGAGGAATTTATTAGTTTTCAGCTACTCTTTCTTTGCTACCTGAATGAACTATAGTTTAGTATGTGCCCCTTTTTGCAGTTTTGATTTTCTAAACTTTCTTTTTGGCGGAAAATTGCCTATTGACCTGAACTTATCTTTGGTGATGACCTTTTCCCGTTGGGGTTTTGGAACGGTGACCTCAGTTTCTGCAGCTGAAGAATTTGAACTACACAACTTCTAATGCAGTTCCAGCAGTCCTTCTGGTTGGAAGATGAGAAATCATAGTTGGGAAAATAATTTTTAGCCACCATGTAATCATAGTAAGTACTGTTCAAGTTATTGTGGTGTATGTGTTTCTGTGTGTGTATGAATTGTTTTTTTTTTTTTTCTGGTAGTAATCCTACTTTATATATATTCTTTGCACCATTTAGGGGTTTCAATGGATGCAGCAGCTAGGTCTGCATGTGAGCATGCCAACGTAGACTTGTCTGATAATGGTAATGGTGTTGGTGATTCCAGTGACGATAATAGGAGAAATGTTGAAGACAATGAAATTAACATAGATGCCGAAAATATCAATGGAAGTAAATCTGGTGGTGCTGAACCTCACACTGAAAATGATAATACTCGTGAGGTCAGTTGGGTGGAATTGGATAAAGGTTTAGATGAGCTGACTGAGAAAGAAGTTTTTAAACTGAAATTTGACTGCGATGAAGAAGCAGGAATGTTCTATGAGACTTACTCCAAACTTGTTGGGTTTACTGTCCGAAAGACATATACAAAACGTGACAAGGATAACGTTGTAATATACAGGGGATGGGTTTGTTCAAGAGAGGGTTTTCCAGAGAACAGGATAAATATCTGGGACAGGAGGCAAGTTCCTAAACCAGGAAGCAGAGTTGGTTGTCTTGCTAGCTTTCGGGTCAAACATGAGAAAAAATCAGGCAAATATGTTGTTTCAGGTTTTGTTAAAGAGCACAATCATGAGCTGGCAGCTCCAATAGCTGTCCCCTATCTGCAGCCGCAAAAGCGTGCACGTACAGTAACTGTAGAACTTGGGTTCACTAAGAAAGATATAGAACATGTGCAGGCTACCTCCGACATTCATGATGTTGACAACCGTGTCTTAACTCACAGTGTCTTAGCTTACTTATGTGCAAAGAATGACTATGATCCAGGGTTGTTTTATAAGTATGATGTTGATGATGAAAAGCAATTATTCAGTATATTTTGGGCAGATTCAAAGTCTAGAGCAGATTATGCCTTCTTTGGTGATGTTTTGGCATTGAACACTAAATTTAGAAAGAATGCTTATGGAAAACCCTTTATTATTCTTGCGGGTCTAAATAATCATTACCAAACAACTGTATTTGGTTGTGCACTATTGGGAGATGAAACAGCTGAGACCTATGTATGGCTCCTGGAAACATTTTTGGATGCCATGAATCACAAGGCACCTGTTTCAGTTATTACAGATGGTGACAAAGCTATAGAAGAAGCAATTGAGAAAATATTCCCCACATCTCAGCATCGTATATGCCATTGGCACCTGTATAAGGATGCTGTTGCTATTGCTGGTGACTCATCTTTTGGACCGGACTTCAAGAAGTGTATGGAGGAAAATTTGAATCCAGATGAATTTGAGGTGGCTTGGATCAAATTAATGAAGAAATATGGACTTCAAGGCCATCCATGGTTCGAAGAGATCTACTCCAGGCGTACAAAATGGGCAGAGGCATACTTGCGAGAGCATTTCTTTGCTGGTCTGAGTAGTATTCAGGGCCATGGAATGAATACATATTTCACCCGGTTCCTGCAAGTTCAGCTCAAGCTTCATGAATTTGTGAGGTACTTTGACAATGCTCTTGTTCATCTTCGTGAAGACGAGGCAAAAGCAGACTCTGAGTCAGAGAGCACATGTCCTGCTTTTTGTACAATTTTGAGGGATTTAGAGAGGCATGCTGCTGATGTCTTCACAAAAAGTATCTTTCTAAAAGTTCGTGAACAAATAATGGGTGATGCCATGCTAATCTTGAGCAATAAAGAGTACCTCAAAGATGAGGCCTGTTGGGTTTACAGATTTTCTGAATATATGAAGCCTGACATGATATGGAAAGTTCGCTATCATCCAACTAATCAAAGCTTGACATGCTCCTGCTTTAAGTTAATCAAAGATGGATTGCCTTGCTGCCATATGATTTCTGTTATTAAAGCTGAGCAGCTAAGAGAATTTCCTAGATGTTGCATCAACAAAAGATGGATGAAACGTGCAAGGAGTGAAATTGACTCTGGGATTGATATTCAATCCCTAAATATGGCCACAGAAGTTGCACGATTTCGAATTTTGAATTCTACTTGCAGTGAGATGAATTACTATGCTTCTCAAACACTTCAAGGTTTTAATAAGGCACGTAATCTCATTTCTAAGTTCACATCTGATGTGAAGCAGATATACAATTCAAAGGGTGAAGTCGATGAACCATCACCAGAAGTCAGCGAGGATGCTGATGGCTCGACCTCAAGGTCTGGTATGCATGATCCCAATGGGCAGTGTGATGCTAGTGAGGTGGAAAGACCCCGACCTGATGACTGCAGCCCTGCACAGGTAATGGAAACTTATATGGCATTGAACTGCCATGTTACAATGGATGGAGTTCTTAGCTTTTTATGCTTTTTTTTTTCTTTTTCAAATTTTTCATTTTTCTTCAGAGATTATTTGAAGTGTTAGTGGCATCCAACTAACCATAAAAATAGGAACAACACATGGGTCATGTTGTCCTGAAGGACTGATGAGTTAGTTTGTCTTTTCAGCTATGAGTTCAGTATGCTAGTAGGCTCATCTTCAAGTTTGGGACACTGCATGCAAATGCAAAGAAGCTGTAGATCCACTTTACTTTTCTTTTCGTGTTGCGCAGCCCATCTAACTGAGTTATTGTCCTGGAAAATGAGGGATCAATCTGCCATAATAAATCTTTCTCCTGTAATCCTGCACGTGGGGTCATACTTTTTTGTTTTCAATGAGACCAATAAATCAGATAGAGGAGAAATTATTGAGGCTTCTTTGGTTTGAAGCTTGTAAAAATCCTTAGTAATGACATATTCTTCTAAATGTGCACCAGTCATGATCAGACTACATCCCAGCTGCGCATCTAAATCATGGCTGCCAAACATCTGAAGGTACTGGTACAATGGATGATGGTGAGGGACACGTGCAAAATGGGAACTTTTCTGAAATGCCAAGCCTGCCCATGAACTTGATGTGGGAAGATGACGATTAGATTCATCCAAACACCTATTAGGTAGGTCCCTTTGACTTTTAAAGTGTAACCTTCTTTCCTCCTGCTGGAAAGTTATGTTTCAAGATCCCTAATACTTATATGCATGGTACACAATGAGTTAAGATATGGAAGAAATACAGCGAATTTTGATTGGCAGGTAAATATTTTCTGTCCTACTTCAACAGAACTATTGGTTGCACAGGCCTCATTATGCATGGCTCCAAATTTAAGGTAGTTAAGTGTAATTTACCACTGCTGGTATATTGCCGATCTTGCTTCCTGATTGGTGACAGTATCTTGAGTTTGCCTATGAATTTCGGTACTAAGGAGTAAAATAGTGATTATAAAGATTGAGGGGTAAATTGTAAGCGGGTATAAGTTTGGAAGAACTCTTCGTAGACAGATGACAATGTTTAGTTACAATGTATGATGTTTCTACTCAGCCAATCATGATTTGCACAAAATATATGATGTCTGGTTATTGCCCATTGCAAAGAATTTGCTGATGGAATTTGCTAGTGAGACGTTATAAATTTTTTGGAGCCACTTAATACAAAAATATAGTATGAGAGAGTAAATCTTATATACACTGACAGTGTATATCCTGTCACGGTTCGATGCACGACACATATGCAAAATTTGTTTTCAAATTCAAATTCAGATTATGTGTCATACATCCAATGGTAAAAGTGTACACACTGTCAGTGTATAGAAGATTAATTCTTCAATATATGGTGACCTTTTTCCCTAATTATAAGAAGTCAAAGCTATTTTCGTCCTAACTATTAACCTGTTCAGTAAACTTGTGGACTGGATTTTATTGATGAAGATTCCCTTCGCTCACCAATCTGCAAAGTATATGGATTTTATCTGTCTGATGTATTCTTTGGAGCTCCTTTTATCAAGAGAGCTCTTGCACATAACATGTTTATGTTCAGATGTTAAATGTATTTCCAGTTTTTATTTGGAGTATAGATGTATGATCTGTTGTAGGATACATTATGATGACTGCATTACCACTAACTTGGAATTAGATGTTTGGTCCAATTCTTCTTGGCTTGCTTTTCTTGATTGTTTGGTATAATACTTTAGACTTATTTTTTTCGACTTAGTAATAAAGCAGGGTATCAATTGAAAGTGCAAGAACTGTTGTTAATAGAATGTTCGCGAAAGAATTTTACGATTTATCAGTCACTTATTCTCACACTGGCCGAACAAACAAGAGGTTGCAGCTGGGGTTAAACTTCACAGCAGACGAAAAAACATGTTCCTCCTCAAAATGACTACGCCTATTCATTTTTGGGTAGTAATGGTTGCGTGTCATTCTTCATCAGCCAACTTTATCTTATCAAAGCAAGCTGGGAGGCAGAAGTTGTAAGAGGTTGGTTTGGTTCCTGCGGCTTTTGCACATACATTTGTTTCAACCTTGTATGCTGTAAATTTTGTAGTTAAATGTGCAGGTGCCTTTCTGTGCTCGCCTGCCTTGATAGGCAAAATGGTTCTGTTCCTAACTGTAACAATCAGGCTACGCTTGTAATGTCCTAAATTAGTCGGAGTCCTTCTTGTTATTTTATTCTCTATATTTAATCTACTCTTTGGGAGGGAAAGAAAAGTAATGAACTAGGATGGTCTACGACTTTTTCAGTCTGCAGACAGCTAGAAGTTCTTGAATTTTTGGCTGAGTGATGCTATGCCTGGTATTGATCCTTTTTTTTTTTTTTTTTTTGCAATAACTTTCTATCTTCATAATCAAATCAGGATAACAAAACTGGCTTTAGTTTAGCAGTCAAATTTTCAGTCCAAAAGGCCATGAGCCAAAATTTAAACTTCAAAGGGCTGAAGCATTTCAAGCCTAAGCAAAAACCCAAGAGATATTTATCTCCACCTCAAGCAAATCCAATTAAGACGGAAAATCTGAAAGAAATCTTATACGAGTGCTGTATTGATGGATAGTTTGAAAGAAATCTTATAAGCAACTTATGGTTTTATTAGAAGGGCATGAATCTTGCTAGAAGTATGCTACTAATGCTGGCAAAGCCTCCGGAGAATCATTGATGTTATTTATTAGAAGGGTTAGAATGATGATTGGAATACTGGAGTGGCTAAAGTAAAAGTTGAAGATGAAATTTTGGACAAGTCTCCTTAAGAATTTGCCTTTGCCGAAAGGACAGATATTTATTAGTGAAAGCTATTTGACCCGTAAGTAAATAAGGTGGAACTGAGCAATCAAATTTCTTAAAAAATTACTAATAAATAAATAAATTTAAACAAGAAAGATGGAAAGCAAGAAAGCATATATTGAATAAAAATTAGGAAATTTTACAAAATCTCTAAAAACTAGCCTCTTGGGCTCAACTCTGAACCTGCCCAGAACATGCATGGCCCATGGGCCCATATCGCCTCAACCTCCCAAGCCCAGCAACCGGGTTGCTGAGGTGACGTCGTTTTAGTCGTCTCTGTTCTCTGTTTCAGCTCCCTCCGACCACTCTCGGGGGCACTCTCACTTGGCCTTCCTTTCCCATTTTCTGAACCTGTAGAAGAATCACAAACAAAACCTCAGGAATTTTCGTTGGCTCTATCGATTATCAATCTCTATCCAACAAAATTACATCTTTTTCTCCTCCCATATGATGGTTCTTTAAAATACAGTGTATCTCGTTTTGAGATGAAATGATTAACTCGTTTAGTGCCATTTCAGGACTTCAAGAAGGTACACCTTCTCAGCTTCCTTTCTTAGTTTTTTTGGTTTTCATGCATTCACCATATATATACTCGAGAGTTTTCACTTTTTTTTTCCTTTCTTTGTTGCTTTTGATAAGCGTTGGGGTTGGAAGTAAACAGAGGGAAGTGGGATTTGCAGATTGTTACGAGACAAGTAACAAAAACCCTTTGAAGTTTTAACTACTGGATTTATTTGGTTTTCGAGGATTGGAGATATTGTATGTTATAGCTGCTGCTGCTGCTGTTGTTTTGTGTGTGTGTGTGTTTGTTTTTTTTTTGGGTGCAATAGGGCCCTTAAAAGTTTAAAGGCCAGACATTTATGCAGAAAACTTGCTGCCAGTGGGTTCCTAAATTTAAGCAATTTAGTACAATATTAGACAGTATTCCTTTTTAAGCTACTTGAATAAACTAAAGTCTAATATGTGACCCTTTCTTCTGTTTTGATTTTCTACATTCTTTCTCTTTTTTTTGCTGGAAATTTTCCTATTAAAACTGCATTTTATCTTTTGGCCATGGTCGTTTCTGTAGAGATTCTGGAATGGTGACCTCAATTTCTACATCTTAAGAGTTCGAAGTACAGGACTTATCATTCATTTCCCAGTAGTCCTTCTTGTTGGAGGATGCGAAATCGCAGTTGGGAAAATCATTTTAAACCACCATGGAATTATAGTTAAGTGTTGCCCCAGTTATTGTGGTGCGTGTGTCTGGGGTGTCTCTGTGTGTGTATTTATTTATTTATGTATTTATTTTGGTCTTTTTATCTTACTGTAAATTTTCTTTGCATCATTTAGGGGTTTAAATGGATGCAACTGCTAGGTCTGCATGTCAGCGTGTCAGCATTGACTTGTCCGTTGATGGTATTGGTGATAGTGATTCTGGTGAGGGTAATAGGAGAAGTGTTGAAGATAATGAAGTGAACATAGACGCCGATAATAACCATGGAAGTACATCTGGTGGTGCTGAACTTGACACTAGAAATGATAATACTCGAGAAGTGAGTTGGGTGGAATTGGATAAAGGTTTAGAAGATCTGACTGAGAAAGAAGTTTTTGGCCTGAAATTTGACTCTGACGAAGAAGCAGGAATTTTCTATGAGACTTATGCCAACCTTAATGGGTTTACTGTTCGAAAGGTGGATACGAAACGTAAGAATAATGTGATAAGATATACGAGATGGGTTTGTTCAAGAGAAGGTTTTTCAGAGAACAGGTGGGCAAATAACTTGGATGGGAAACGTGATCCTAAATCTGTAACCAGAATTGGTTGTCTAGCAAGCTTTCGGATCAAACACGATTTTAAATCAGGCAAATATGTTGTTACGGGGTTTATTAAAGAGCACAATCATGAATTGATGGCTCCAAGAGTTTTACCCTGTCTGCAGCCAAAGAAGCGTGCACGTAGAGTAGCTGGAGATGTTGGGTTCACTAGAAAAGATAGAGAACGTGCTTCAACGAGCTCCGACATTGCTGATGGTGACACTCGGTGCGTTTTAACTCAGTGTGTCTTAGCTTGGTTATGTGCTAAGAGTGACTATGATCCAGGATTGTTCTATAAGTACGATGTTGATGAAGAAAATAAATTGTGCCGGATATTTTGGGCAGACTCAAAGTCTAGAGCAGATTATGCCTTCTTTGGTGATGTTTTGGCATTGAATACAAAATTTAGAAAAAATGCTTATGGAAAACCCTTTATTATTCTTGCGGGGCTGAATAATCATGATCAAACAATTGTTTTTGCTTGTGCATTATTGGGAGATGAAACAGCTGAGACCTATGTATGGCTCCTGGAAACATTTTTGGAGGCAATGAATGACAAGGCACCTGTTTCAGTTATTACAGATGGTAGCAAAGCTATAGAAGAAGCACTTGAGAAAACGTTCCCCATGTCTAAGCATCGTATATGCCGTTGGCACCTACATAAAGATGCTGTTTCTAATGCTAGTGACTCATCTTTTGGACCTGATTTCAAGAAATGCATGGAGGAGAATTGGAGTCCAGAAGAATTTGAGGTGGCTTGGATGGAATTGCTGGAGAAATATGGGCTTCAAGGCCATCCATGGTTCGAAGAGACTTACTCCAGACGTACAAAATGGGCAGAGGCTTACTTAAGAGAGCATTTCTTTGCTGGTCTTAATAGTATTCTGGGCCATGGAATGAATACCTATTTCACCCGGTTCCTGAAAGTTCGGCTCAAGCTTCATGAATTTGTGCGGTATTATGATAAGGCTCTTGTTTGTCTTCGTGAAGAAGAGGCAAAAGCAGACACTGAGTCAGAGAGCACGTATCCTGCTTTTTGCACTGTTTTGAGGGATTTAGAGATGCATGCTGCTGATGTCTTCACGAAAAGTATCTTTTTCAAAGTTCGTGAACAAATAATGCGTGATCCCATGCTAATTTTGAGCAGCAAAGAGTACCTCGATGATGAGGCCTGCTGGGTTTATAGCTTTTCTGAATATACAAAACCTGACATGGTATGGAAAGTTCATTATCATCCATCTAATCAAAGCTTGACATGCTCCTGTTTCAAGTTAGTCACAGATGGAGTGCCTTGTTGCCATATGATCTCTGTGATGAAAGCTGAACACCTGAGAGAATTTCCTAGATGTTGCATTAATAAAAGATGGACCAAATGTGCAAGGAGTAAAATAGCCTCCAGCATCGATATTCAAGCCTTAAACATGGCAACACAAGTTGCACGCTTTCGAGTGTTGACTTCTGCGTGTAGTGAGATGAATTACTATGCTTCTCAAACAGTGCAAGGTTTTAATGAGACGCGGAATCTCATTTCTAAGATGATGTCTCATGTAAAGCCAATACACACTTCAAAGGGTGATGTGGATGAACCAGCACCAGAAGTGAGCCAAGATGCTGATGGCTCAAGCACAAGATCTGGTATGCATGATCCCAGATCAACAAACTCCAATGGCCAGTGTGACTCTAGTGCAGTGGGAACATCCCGACCTGGCGATTGGGGCCAGAGCAGGTCTGGAGCTTTGTATAGCGTTGAACTGTGATGTTTAATTTTAGAATAAATGGCTTATGCTTGTTTTCCAGCTCGTTGCATTTTTCTGCAGATATTATTGAAAGCATTAGTGTGATACTGTAGAATAATATTATCCAACAAGTTGAACAAAATTGGAGGTACATATGGATCAGATAAAAGAGGAGATATTAATGTTTAATTTGACCCAAAAAATTTTTTATGTTTGTTTGGTTGGAAGCTAGTAAAAGTCCTTGGTCACAACATATTATTCTACAGGAGCACCAGTCATGATCAGTTTTTATTCCAGCTACTGCATCTTAATCATGGCTCTCAAAGACCTGAAGGTACTGGGACAACAGAGGATGGATTGAAATGCATACCCAATGGAAACTTACCTGAAATGCCAAGCCTGCCTCTGAACTTGATGTGGGAAGATAGTGATTAATTTCATCCAAACACCTATCAGGTATGTCTCAGTGACTATTAAATTTTAACCTGTTTGACGTAGCAGACTTGTCTCTGTCTTTCCTCTTGTGACAAATTTATGATATATGACTTGTTACTTATGTTTATGCTATAGATTGAGTTAAATCTGGAGGAAAGGAAGCAAATTTTGATTGGCACTGAATGCTTGCAGTCCTACTTATTGGATTCATAGGTCATTTATACATTGCTCCAAATTTAAGGTGGTTAAGTGTAATTTGTCCCTGCAGTTATATTGTTTTGGCCCAAAAGAAGAGGATATGTTGGAAAGATCTCTTGGCACTGCTCGTCTGTGGAAGCATTCTACAAGAAATTATTATGTCATCCTGTTTTGAGCCAAAAAGAAAGACTACAGCTGGGGATAGACTTCATACCAGATAAATATGC